GGGACGTGTCGAAAACGGATCAGCGATCGGAGATGAATTTATGATTTTCTCGGCGGTGGTGCTAAAAAAACGTCGAGACTTTGACTCGAAATTCACGGCATTTGGCGGCGTTTCGCTATAATTGGTTTACTGGGCTTTGTTCACGAGTCGAAGATGAACACGATGGTGGTTTCAATTTGACGGTCGGAGGTTAGACGGTGTCCGAATCGGGCTTCAAAGCAGATGTGCGGGAGGAGAATTTTATGAGTTGGTTTCTGTGTTTTCACGTAGAAACCAATTCGCTTCATTTAATAGAAAAGGCTGCCGATACTTTTTGGGTAAATTCAGGGCTTGGTCCCTGAATTTTCTTCAACTCTAAAACATGATACAAGTTTTGAAAACTTTCAATTTAGTCCCAAAATTTCACCAATTTACACAATTATAATTTTTTTCTTTTCATTATTTTCAGGGTTGTTACATGCCCGATGTTGTTTGATCAGAACAGTCAACCCTTGTTCATCGACGAATGAAAATGTCATATTGATTTGGTCACTTACTTTATTATTTTATTAAATTTTAATAAATTAAACTGTTGATAATTTGATAATGTGATCCATTAATGAAATGATTTAATTTTTATTTTAATACCTACAAATTAGATAAGATATTGATTATAGATCTTTTTGTAAATTTAAATTAGTTTAGAGATAATATTTTAATTTATCCATTTTTAATAGGTTTTTTTCTCAGCCCAATTGTTGTTTATCTTCTCCCTGTTTCTTCTTCATATATCTCTGCTCCATTGCACTAGTTGCATTCTTTCAAGGGTTCATGCTACATTTCAAGAATAATGAAAGATTTCTAATTTTTGATAACAAATAATAACACCACAAATTTAGAGAAAAATGAGAGGGTAGACATCTAAAGATAAAATGGAGCTAGATAATCATAGTTATATAAACTAAAATTCAATTTTCAAAGATTGAGATTGCAAAATGTCAAATCCAACAAGGAACATGAAGACAAATCAATGGATCAAAATAACTTGATAACTAGATATCACTATTCGACGATGATTTCCCCTTGAGAAAGTGTCTCCGATGAAACATAATCAATAGATACAAACAACATGATAACTTGATAGATGAATTCATTCACTGATCTCAATACAAAATGCATGATCTTCAACGTTGAATCTTTGTTTTTGCTCAAGAACAAAAAAAAATCGATTATAGATCCTTATGAATCACTATTAACCCCTATAGCCTGTGCGATTTGTCACAACACATCCACCACGCCAGCCTCCGAGTGCCTCATTTCCACGACGATCCGATCGAACAACTCATCGTCAGAGCAAAGCTCTAGTAGTAAGTGAACGTCGGTTTGATCTTTGTAAACGTCGTGGAGGTCGATCATGTTCTGATGCGACAAACGTTCGCAATGATCTTTTGCATCACGGGGATTTCGTTGGTCAACAATGCTCTGAATATGAGAACCTAATATTGTGTCGTCAATAATGTTGCCATTGAAGAAGTTATAATTTTCTTGGCTTGAGGCGGTGGCATCACCATGGTGGTGAATCTTTTAAGAGGTTTAATGAAAAATTCTTTGCATTTTTCACGATTTTCATTATTTTTTTATATATTTTCTTACAACTTATAACCCACTTAATTCGACTTCAAATAATTACAACAAATAATTAGAAATAAGAAGGTTATTGCAATGGAATATAGATGTTTGAAGAAGAAGTCAGGAGAAGATAAGCAATATTGGGGGTTGGGGAGACAAATATTAAATAATAGATAAATTGAAATATTGTCCCTAAACTAATTTGAATTTGTAAAAGACCCATAATTAGTATTTTGTCTAAAATTTAGGGGTTAAAATAATAATTAAACTATTTTACTAACGAGTCACGTTATCAAACTAACGACATTCAACATTCAAGTGACTAAAACTTATGTTTTTTGAATTTAGTGAGCAAAAGTGTATATATATGAAAGTGACCAAAACTTAATCCACGTGGAAATGATATAATTTTAGTTTTATATATTTACTATGACATGTTAGTAAACCATTAAAGGTTGAACTGTCATTAACCTTCAGTGAACACATTTTAAGTAAATTGAAACAAAAATGACCAAATTTTAATTAAAACGAAATGAAAGTGACTAAATCTTATATTTTTTGATTCAACAAGGAAAAATTATAAAACTCAAACGAAAGTGACCATTTATGTAGTTTACCCATATTTTAATTTTTCTAAATGTTTTAAGTTTATTTTTAAATTTTTTATAAATTTAAAACTCATTAAACGAACTTAACTATAAATAAAAGCTCATACGTCTAAATAACTTTGTCTGTATGCAAGAACATTTGGACACAGTTATTCATCGTCTCCGGGGCCACTGTTCCCTAAATTTGTATCATTAAAATATGGGTAAACTACTTCGTTGGCCACTTAACTATTAAGACCTTTTATTTTTGCCACTCATCTTACAATTTTGTCAATTAAATCACTTAATTATTTAATTTGTTCAATCAAACCATTAGCCGTTAATATTTAATAGAAAAGCTGATGTAACAATTAAAAGAATTGGTATATGGTTACATTTAGTCATTAATATTTATACTCTCTTAATTCGGTCATAAATTAAATTAAATTAAATTTAATAAGTTAACCATTCAATCAAGATATGAATGTGTCAATATAGAAGCATGACACATGTCAATAATTGATTGGAGAATATTTTTTTATTAATTTAAATTTATTTAATTAAATAATGTTTCTATCTAATCAAGAGGTGACACGTGTCACCAACCGCTTGGATAGAAAATAAAGGGTTGAAATTGCTCTTGGATGGAATCTAACTTCAGACCAAATGGATGCATAAACAACACCCAAGCCACTACACCAAACTACCCCAATGGTTTATTACTTGCAACAAAAATATTAAAAAATAGATTTTTTAATTTTTAATAATTTTGATGTAAAGTATTTAATTTTTTTATAATCAGCAGTGATTAATTTATTAATAGATTAACTTGGATCAAATATTTAAAAAATTAATTCTAATTTATTTTTACTTCTATTTTTATCAAGCTTTAAAAGGATAAATACAATTTGTTGTAAATTATAAACCATCGAGGATGTTTGGTGCAGTGGTTGGAGTGTTGTTTATGCATCCATTTGGTCCCAAGTTCGATTTCACCCAAGAGAAATTTCATCTCCTGTAATTTCTATCTCAATCGGTTGGTGACACGCGTATCCTCCAATCATATGTATTAACACGCGTCATACTCTTATGTTGACAGATGTTAGATCATGATTGAATGATTAATTTCTTACACTAAATTTAATTTACGACTAAATTGAGAGAATATATAAATATTAAGGACTAAATGTAAAAATGTACCAATTCTTTTAATTGCCACATCAATATTTTCGTCAAATATTAACGACTAGTGGTGTGATTGACAAAATTAAAAGATCGATGGTAAAAGTAAAATGGTTAAATAATTAAGTGGTTAACTGAGTAGTTTATCCTTAAAAAATATATAAAATAAATACATATTTGGACCTTCAAATTTTGATTTCTTTTGATTTTATTCCTCTTATTTTTATTGTTATTTATACCCTGTTGTCCTTAAATTATAAATTTGGCTTCGTCAGTCTTTAAGATGTATGTATTATAAATTGACTAAGAAAAATATAAACAAATTACTATTTCTAAAGGTTTTAAATTCAAATAATTATATTTATAGAGTGTATGTATATAATTAATTAATAAAATTATTAATAAATAATATTTTATAATCATCTTATAATATAAAAAAAATCATGAACCTATGTGTTTCATCAGTTTTTTTTTTACTGAATCAGTCAGTTCCCGCCATACCTAACCAAGACCACAATTATTCTAGCGGTAAACTATAAAAGCAGTCAGCAACCTTTTAGAATACTTGTATTTTGGTCACTGAACTTTTAAACCTTCACAATAAAGTTACAACAAACATCTGAAAAACCGAACCCGAAATCAGAAACTACCACTAAACAAAACCAAACCAAGCCATCCCATGAAAATCTAACCAGGTTTTCCAGATTCTCTCTCAAAATCCCCTCTGTTTCTCCATTGTCTCGAATACCCGGCAAAAGCTTTCCCTTTTGTTCACAAAGATAATGTCTTTGCATTGGTTATTGATATGCCATGGAATGATCACTCTTACGATAGTTGTTTCCTTCCTCTGTGGGCAGTGGCCAATCTTCCAAGGAACACCCATCAGCTCCATCCATCGTTTCCTCACTTTCGGAGCATATAGATACTTCTTGTAACTTTCATTTTTTTTCACGTTTCTTTGATGGGTTTCTTATTTGTTTCAGGAAGTTTATTGGGGCTGTTTTTGGAGATAGAGGAACAAATTCGGTTCTCTCTGTTGAGTATTATTGCTGTGATAGGGCTAATCCCATCTTACAGGTATAATTCTATACCAGTTGAAATGATTTAATTGAATGTTTGAAACCCATGGAATACGATTTATTGTTCTTGTTTCGTAGCATGTTGATGATCGAGTTTCAATGGTTTTTTAGTATTTATTGAGTAATCAAATTAGGATGCATGACAGTTATTTTATTGGGAACATTAGAAAGCAGAATAGCATAGGTAATGATGCTTCGTTTCACTTAATTTTGATGCTAAACGTCGAACTGTAAGATTCATTTTGTATACATTAATATGAGGAGGTCCTGGGCTAGAGGGAAAACTCAAAGCATGTGCATTAGATTTGATGAACAATATAAACCGAATAGATGTCGATTCTGTGATTCTGTCCCAGCCCGTAATTCGTTTTCAATGTTATAACCTTTGCAATGCCATAGAAACCAATTGTTTTCCGATGCAAGCATACGACTTTAAAACCAAAGTTCGCAAAAGATGATCTTATAAAGGGATGTTTTGCACAAAAGGGGTGATTTTCATATTGTGGTCAACCATTTTTATGATTCTCTATGACAGATTATATACATGGCAATAATTGGAACGACTTATTACATTGTAGTGAAGACGTCTTTTAGCTATATTCCTGGGCACTATCTAAGCGAAGTGCATAGGTATGTGCTAAGAAGTGAGTTCTCTGCTGTAACCTGATTTCCTTAAAGTGATTCTCTTCCCTTTTCCCCTTGGATTTTGTACTTATTGTAGGTACGGAAGTTTTTTGGCGGTTGCTATTGGCGTTTTTCTATTTTTATTGACTAGTTTTTCTGATCCGGGAACTGTGAAGGCAGAGAATGTTTCACATGCTTATCCTTATGAAAATCTGATTTTAACCAAGAAAGAATGCCCCACTTGTAAAATTCCAAAGTAGGTTCATTGCTGTGGTTTCATATTTCTTGTTGGCCTTTTTTGTTTGCATAAGATGTGATGAGATGTTCTATCATTCCAGACCCGCTAGATCGAAGCACTGCAGCTTATGCAAACGATGTGTCGCCCGCTTTGATCATCACTGTGGATGGATGGTTTGACTGACATCTCGATTTATTTTTTTCTTTGATATTTTTTTTGCAAGTTGTTCTATGTAAAAGATGTTAACAATCCTAATCTCATTTGATGTCTACTCAAGATGGTGTCACTTATTACAGAATAACTGTATTGGGGAGAGGAATACCCGATACTTCATGACTTTTCTTATATGGTGAGTTCTGCACTATTTAATTCGCTTAATTTCCCTTTTACATTTTGTTCCCCCTTCAAATTCGGTAGATACTTATGTTGGTGATGTCACTTAACATGAGCAGCCTCTTTTACTTGGTGATTATGTTGCTTTGACTCTTCATTTTTCCTGAACTATTCATATCCGGCGTTCGGACCCTCCTACTGCTTGATTATGAAAATACTTGGTGAAGTTTGAACATATTCATGTCACACACACACAGGATTCGAAGTAGCATAGCTCGGTGGAAAAATCCAACACCAACAACCTTTTCTGTCAATTAGTTGGGCCATGGTCAAGGTTTCATCATTAACCATGAATGGAGCTTTTAAATATCCCATTTCCATTAATGTATGAAAGTTCTAAGCACAAAATATTGCATTAATTTTGGTTCAAGTAATGATCTAGATCAAGTAATCGGGAAGTGCCTTCTTTTATCCTTTAATATAAAACACTTGTTCATTTGCGGACTTGTTTGAGATTGAGAACGCAGTTCATCCTTTTGTTCCTTGCTTCCCGCGCACAACATGTCTCAGTATGAGTTACAGCACAAGTTGCTTTTCCATTTTAGTGTTCAAAATTCATATTTAGCATTTCTTCAGGCATTTCCTTCTTTGTGTGTATGGGACGATTGCTATCGGATTGGTTCTTGCTGGACGAGTGGAAGAATTGCAAATTGTGCATATTTAATAGGTAAATTGATTTGGATCAACATTTTTTAGTTTCCTAATATTCTACGAACTAAACATTTGATGCTGTTTACTTCGTTTTCCTTCTTTCCCCCCAGCTTATTATGGTGTAGATAATTCTGTTCCCAGTTTAGCTCCATATATCGCACAGGTAAGTGTCATATGTATGATATTATATGAAATTTTTGGTTAGGGTAATTGCTTGTTGTGACTTTAACTTCCTATAATGTCTTTTTTTATATCGTTTCTGCTTTAGATTTCGAGTATTACAGTAGGCTGTTCATGTTTAATTAGTTGTCATTCGGTTTTCGCAGTGGCTAGGAGACGCACATAACACCCAAATACTTCTTATGGTGTTCTTGGCTATAGTTTCTCTTCTATTAGCGGGTTTCTTTGCATATCATGCAAATCTTTGTCTCACAAACACATTTAACGAGGTGAGTTCTATTTAGACCTTGTTCATTCAGTGGTTTGTTACCTTAATCCGGATACAAACCCGGAACCGCTCACCCCTGTAACGTGTTTTTGAAATTGCAGACCTTCAAGTGGCAAGACTACGTAATCTGGCAGAAGAAAGTGAATGAAGCACAAGCACCATTGAGTGTGGACACCACTGGGATGACGGGGGAAGGAAATCCTGAAGAGAACAAATGTAAATCCTTCTTCGGAAGGTTCCTTCTACAGAAGACTGAAGTTGTCGTAAGAAAAAATATGTACGACAAAGGGTTACTCCACAATATCTACGAGGTCATCTTTCCGTTCTCGACAAGAGCATCGTTTTCGCAGACGAAATCGAAATCGGGATGAGGTTTTGTCGACTGATAACACATTCATTAACATGGAACCTCCTATCATCGTGTTACGCAGAAGTTCAAGATCGATGATCGAGTCAAAATCTCGAGGCTCGCATTTGGAGCATGGGCCACTTATGCAGCTTCTTGATGGCTTAATATTGTTGTTCTGGAAAATGGAAATCTGTACTCGTCTTTTTTTTGTCATTTCAAGTAACCGTGTTAAGTACTCATTGGGGTATTCAACGTTAGTAAAGAGATAAATATATCGATGTCGAGTATATAAATTAACGTTAGTAGGAAGGATCCATGTAATAATTCTTCTTAATAAAGAGATAGTTATACGATGTCGAATATATACAACATTTTAGAAGCGGACCGCCTTTGGGGACATGTCGATAGAGCATTCGTTAGTGGTCTTGCAGATATCATTTCTCCTCCAAGAACGAAACTACTTCCCCTGCCATAGCTCCCGGCGTCAGACAAACTCCATCTTTCTGGTTTATTTCAATCTGGAAATGACAGTTTAGAATGATAGCCAAACTATAAGCTCAATATCGGTGTTAGTAGCTTCCCATGGTCATCTATGAACATAGCTCACATTTCAACGGCGGTTCGTAAGGATCATCTATGCCTGTAAAACCTATAATAAACAACACAATTCTTTGTTATGTCCCTTAAAGATGAGGCCATTGCCTTATTGGCCTAAGCCATATGTAAAATGTATACGAGTAAAGTTGTTGGTGGTAGAGGAGTAGGGAAACATGGAGGAAAATTCTTGTCTAACGAAATATCCGAACGCAATCAACGGAACCTTAATCTTTCCTGCAGTGCGAGCTTGTAAAGGCCTTTGGGATCGCTTTCTTCACACAATGTCAGAGGATGTTCGTGAAAACCTGGAGATGTGCAAGGAAAAATGCATTTTGATTTAAGTAAAAAGAATTAAGATGAGAACCAAGCAAAAGGGGGTTTGCCTCTATAAAGTTCTCGTCCGGCATGTTCTCGATTTCCTATATGGAGATATTAGACTGGCAATGCAGATTAAGCCAACATCTGCAAATAGCTTTGCAACTTCAGCTAAACAAGAGTGCAGAAAACATTAGAAACAACTCCAATAAGATGCATCAAAGAACTGTGTTCATCAAGTAATGGCATAGTGTTTAATAGTACATTTCTTGGTTGCCAAGAAATTAACTCAAGGAAACTTGTACTTCTCAAGAGCATACTTACCGACCCTGCATATTTTCCGCTCGATCTTCTGCCTTGAAACCGAGATCCTTGTTTAATCCATGCCGAAGGGGCTGTCACCGTCGAGTACGTAAGATAATTTCCCCCTTGTATACAGTTCCCTTAATGAACATGCAAGTGTACTTTTACCTGAACATGATGGTGCAAATCAGAGTAAATTTTAGAATTCGAACCTTAGTTGAAGCAAATCGAGTCTAGTTGCTAAAATGTTTTAATTTTCCGGGAAAAAAACTAGAGCACATAGGGAAGTCCATTTGATATAAACCTGATCCACTGAGACCTGTGATCCATACAAAACTCATTTGGCAAAGGAGTTTCTGCCTTTCAAGCTTCCCAACCGGGCATTCTTGCCAGAATATATTAGTTGAATTTCCGATCGTCGACATCTTAAGTTATTTAGTCTTTTGATTCTCTCTATATATAGGAACACAAACGAGTAAACCCAGAATTGTTAACAACCAGATAATCTACGCATTTCATGCTATTAAATATAACTAACCGCCTCAACCCAAATAACCAGCAAGAGAGCTGCAATGATCCCAAAAAAGATGAAAATTTTGCACAAAAGAAATGGCCCAGAAAATATACATACATACATACATACCAAAAAGAAAAAGAAGAGAAACACATACATACATAGAAACTATAGAAACATGTTATCATATCGTATTAATTTGCAGTGTTGATGTTATTCTTAAGTACCCATCACATGAAAGTGAGGGAGAAAGGTATTGTTAGGTACCTACCTGAGCGAGAAAGAAACAAGGTTATTGAAAGGTGAAAGCTTGGCAAGTTTATTGTTTAGTTATTTTATTAATAATATTTTTAAGAAGACGCAAAGTTGAAAGAAGCAAAAGAGAGAACCCGTGTTTAGTGTGTGAATCCAAGACCATCTGGTTGGAGCTGGAGACGGCGTAGACAAAGGAAAAAAGACAAGGAAATAGTTACTTTATTTGACTTTTATGATTTAATTTTTTTAATAAATTATACGAGTAATCACTCGTGAAAAATCATTTTGATTATCGATGTTTCAATTTAATCAAATAGAACATCCAACTATTTAAATGGTTCAATTAAGTCATTGACCCTTAACTTTTAAGGGTAGAGATGATGTGACCGTTAAAATTTGACGGGAGAATGACTCATCAATTAATTTTTTGATATAATTATATATTGGGTCCTTGTTACATTCAATATATTTATTTTTCTCCAAGGTGACACATGTTACCCTCATGGAAGAAAATAAACCAAAGATGGATGAGGGGAATTGAACCCAAGACTAGGTGAATCAGCAGCAACCAAACCACTAAGCTAAGGCAACTATTTCATATATATTAGACAACAAGCATATATATTTTGTAATCTAGTATGTAAATGTTTTTACTCAAAATTAATAATATTTCATATATCTTAAATAGAGATGGGTATGGGTCGAGTTTGGGTCAGGTTTCGGCCAATCCGACCCGAAATTTTTGCATTCTTCATTCGACCCGACCCAAAAAATATATATCCTCCACCATACCTGATTTTTTTAGATAAAATACGATTCTGATCCGACCCGAAATAATAAAAAATATTATTTTTATTCAATAAAAACAATGATTTAATTGAAAAATATATATAAGGGTATTATTATAATTATTTCTAAATATATAAGGTAAAATTATATTTTTTTCGGGTAGAGTATTTTCACCCTAAATCCGAATCCTACCTGACCCAAATTTTTTTAAAAACCCGATTCAATCAGGTTGGGTCGGAACCCGTCGAGTTCGGATCCCATACCCCTCCTTAATCTTAAATATATCTTTTATTTTTGTTTTAATTTATTAAGTATATTTTATTTTAATATAAAAATATATATTTTATTTTTATCAGCACTTCGCGGACCAGCAGACAAATACTTCGTTGGCTTGCACGCAGCTCGACATCGGCATGGAGATCAACGAAGACGTAAAGAGGGATGAAGTGGAGATGCTTGTTAGGGAGTTAATGGTGGGAGAAAAGGGTATCGAAATGAAAGCAAAGGCCATCGAATTGAAGAAGAAAGCGAAGGACACTTCCGATCACGGCGGTTCTTCTTCTCGGAACTTGGAAACTTGTTAACCGACGTTCTTGGCACTCCGATTGTGTGACATTAATATGAAATGCGGTTACTTGTTATTGCTTTTGTCTGAACTGTGTGCAGTTCAAATGTGTTTGTGCATTATGTTGTTTTGGTCCATTGTATTTGTATTTCACCTTTCCTCTGTTGAAATAAAATATTTTAATGCACTTGTTCTATTAAAAAATATTTAATAAATAAAAATAAAATAAAAGATATATTTAAGTGATTATAAATATAAAATATATATTTTTATATTAAAATAAAAATGAAATATATTTAATAAGTAAAAAATAAAATATATATTTAAGATATAAAATATTGTTAATGTTGAGTAAAACAATTACGTACTATAAACAATATATATAAACTTGATGTCCATTATATACCAAATGGTTGCTTGGGTTAGTGGTTTGGCTGCTGCTATTTCACCCAATAATTTTGGGTTTGGATCCCTTCATCCACCTTTGGTTTATTTTCTTCCGAGAGGATGACACGTGTCATCCTTTGATTGAAGAAAAATAAATCTATTAAATTTATTGAATTTAATCAAAATTAGGATCAAATTGACATCTTATGTAAGTAACAATGACCAAATATATAATTATACCAAAAAGTTAAATGAGGAGTCATTCTCCCGGTTAAATTTTAACTGTCATGCCACATCCACCTTAAAAGTTAACTATCAGTGGCTTGATTGAATCATTTAAATGTGTGTGGTTTGTTTGATCAAATTGAACATTGGTGGTCAAAATGATTTTTGACCACAGTTGAGTGGTCACCCTTGTAGATTATCCTAATTTTTTTATTAGTACGGGATAGATATAAGGCTGTTCATACACAATTCTTCACTGTTTGACATTAAACGCTCATGCCCTTGCCATTGTTGGGTTGTTTTAACTTATTAAACTCATTAAGACTGAAGATTCAACTATTTTTTTAATTACACTACACCTATTAAACTTTCACGATCGAATCAAATGACCTAAATTAAAAAATACTTCATTAAAATTAAATCAACTAACTAAAAAAATTCGATTGATATTTTTTTATAAAATTTCAGTTCAGTTATGGTTGAAGATTTTTTTGGTTAATTCAATTTTGACTAACTAGATTGGGTTAATAATTGAATTTATGTAAGACACTATAAAAAAATTTTAATTTAGTTCAATTTCTTTATTTTATGAGTTTGATTTAAATTAATAATTTGATTTTGATCTATTTAATATATATATAATATTTTATCGAAATAATATAATTTTAAGAGTAAACTACACTAAATACTATGAAATTCAAGTCTAAGTCATTTATATCATTAGCCTTTCGATTTTTTATTATAATATTAAACTTTGATTTTAATTTCAATTGTACAGTTAAATTATTAACTTTAATGACACAATGAGGTAAACATAATTTGATGTTACTGTGGTGGCGTGAGCTTTTAATCAGTTTGATTTTGGCACTATATTTTCTCGTCCATCAGCCATCACCGATCATGTTTTTCCCGATAAGATTAATACCAGATCACTCTCATTTCACATATCTACTGGAATATCCCCCAACGTCGCTTGAAATTCCCCGGTGCAATGCTCTTGGCATCCTCGTCGATAAGTCCGAACAAGTAAACTTCGATGTACCCCGGACGGAGAGGTGTGCCGGTGTTGGACGAAGTCTCGGCAAGAGTCCATTGTAAAATCTCTGAGCATTAGCCATATTGGCATTCTTGTCACCTTCTGTAGGCCAACCAACTTCCCCAATGATAATGGGCATATCCCCATGGCCTACTGCTTTCAAAGCTGATACTAATGTGTCGAAGTTGGCATCG